CACACACACACACACACACACACACACACACACACACACAAAGCTTTTGCCAGCAACACCACAACGCACACACCGTGTGCCAGTGCCCCACCAGTGCAGATGAAAGGAAACCAGAACAGTTGCAGAAGTTTGTTTTTCACATAAAATGTAATATTTTAAATTAATTTCAAACTAACGGGGGCAGTTCCCCTGGATTGGCAGACCGGGGTGGTGGTCCCCCTATTTACAAAGGGGGACCGCAGAGTGTGTTCCAACTATAGGGGAATCACACTTCTGAGCCTCCCTGGTAAGGTCTATTCAGGGGTTCTGGAGAGGAGGGTCTGTCAGATCGTCGACTCTCAGATTCAGGAAGAGCAGTGTGGTTTTCGTCCTGGTCGTGGAACAGCGGACCAACTCTGCACTCTCAGCAGGGTCCTGGAGGGTGCATGGGAGTTCGCCCAACCAGTCTGCATGTGTTTTGTGGACTTGGAGAAGGCGTTCGAGCGTGTCCCTCGGGGACTCCTGTGGGGAGTACTCCAGGAGTACAAGGCCCGTTCATATGGGCTGTTAGGTCCCTGTACAACCGSTGCCAGAGCTTGGTCCACATTGACGGTAKTAAGTCGGACTCRTTTCTAGTGAGAGTTGGACTCTGCYAAGGTTSCCCTTTGTCACCGATTCTGTTCATGACTTTTATGGAMAGAATTTMTAGGCRCAGCCAAGGTGTTGAGGGGATCCTTTTTGGTGACCTCAGGATCACATCTCTGCTTTTTGTGGATGATGTGGTCCTATTGGCTTCATCAGATCCTGATCTCCAGCTCTCATTGGAGCGGTTCACAGCCAAGTGTGAAGCATTCAGGATGAGGATCAGTGCCTCCAAATCTGAGACCATGGTCTTGAACCGGAAACTGGTAGGGTGCCTTCTCCGGGTCAGGGAGGAGGTCCTACCCCAAGTGGAGGAGTTTAAGTATCTCGGGGTCTTGTTCACGAATGAGGGAAGAATGGAGCRGGAGATCGACAGGCGGATTGGTGCTKCRTCTGCAGTGATACGGGCGCTCTACAGGTCTGTCGTGGTGAAGCGAGAGCTGAGCCAGAAGGCAAAGCTCTCGATTTACTGGTCGGTCTACGTTTCTACCCTCATCTACCACAAGCTTTGGGTAGTGACCGGAAGTATGAGATTGTGGATACAAGCGGCCGAAATGAGTTTCCTCTGCAGGGTGTCTGGACTCTCCCTTAGAGACAGGGTGAGAAGCTCAGTCATCCAGGAGGGACTCAGAGTAGAGCCACTGCTCCTCCACGTCGAGAGGAGCCAGTTGAAGTGGTTCATCTGGTTAGGATGCCTCCTGGACGCCTCCCTGGTGAGGTGTTCTGGGCATGTCCCACTGGGAGAAGACCCAGAGGAAGACCCAGGACACGTTGGAGGGACTATGTTTCTCAGCTGGCCTGGGAACACCTTGGGATTCCTCCAGAGAAGCTGATCCAAGTGGCTGGAGAGAGGGAAGTCTGGGCCTCTGCTTAATGCTGCCCCCGCGACCCRACCCCGGATAAGTGGAAGAAAAGGGACGGACGAACTAACAAAATAAAACCAGAGCTTAAATCTACCTCAAATTGTCTTCGTTAGTGAAACTTGTTTTCTTAGTTCTTCCTCTTTTTTTCTTTTGAACACCAACCAGGTGTCTCTTTGATAGAGCTTTCAGAAAATGGGCTTTATTTGCCCTTTTAATTATCTCGAGTCAACAATGAGCTCTACAGCTGGTTTTCTGACTTTCAAACATTAACTTGGTCATTTTTAGTGACTTCAAAGACAAATATAGGCAGCCTCAGTATCTTAAATGAGACATATCATGCAAAATCCACTTTTTTAGCCGATACAAACATTTTGTTGTGAACTTGGAGTCTCTACTCGTGCAGAGAATTTAAATTTAGCCTCGTCCGGTGCTAGACTTTAGTTATATTCTGTTTGGGTCATATTTTTCTCAATTTTCCATGTTTTCTGATAGATTATGTTACAGTATTTGCGATAGAACTTCCAAACAAGCTCTGGGTGTGAAGCGTCTTGTTTGGATTTAAAGAGACAGCCTCAAATCGAGATGATCTGCGACACACCCCAGAAGTGGTGTGAAAGAGGGGTTTGTGGAGTTACAAGGAGGAATTCATACCAAAGCATTACAGTTCCACTTTATATAGAATGATTTAAATGTGAAACAGAAGGATTTAAAAGCTCTTTAAATGAAAAAGCTGTTGTGTCGTTGTTCTCATGTTTTAAAGATCTTGAAGGATTTTCTCTCATCTGAAAAAAGGTGATATGTATTGTATTAGGATAGGCAACAGATGACCTA